GGCAGCTGCAGCCCGGAGAAGAGAAAGGAGGAAGGGGGGGAAGGACAGAGACAAAAGGGCTCGGGAGGAGGAGAGAGGGAGGGCAGGTTACCTCTGTGTTAGCCCCGGCCTGGTCTGCACACGGAGAGCGGAGCGGCTCCGGCTCCAGGCAGACGCTCTCCTGGCCCAAGGCAGGCAGCGGGGAAGCCCCTGCCCCAGGTTCACAAACTCCCCCAGGCACCTCCCTGCCGCCAGCTGGAGCCGGGAGCTCAGCCCAGGCTCCGGCCTCCGTCCCCGCCGATGCGGCCGTTACCTGGCAGGTAGACGTCTACCGGTGGGTCGCTCTCCGACTGTGTCAAGCTCCTGTGTTCGCTGCAGCTGCCGTCCTGCAGGACGTCTTCGACGGAGGGAGGACGGCTGCCTAGAGGCAGCAGAGAGCAAGGCCGTGAGGTCCTTCCACCCTCTGCGCACTAAGTGCCAGAGACCTGTCCCGTGACAACAGGGCACATCCTCCACGCCCAGGACATCTCACCAAGGCCACACAGGGCACGTGCTGGCCAGGGGCCACCCCAGCATGAGCAGATACAGACAACAGTGTCCCAGGGGAAGTTGGATCCACAGCCTGACAGTGCTCTGTGCCAGCTAATGGGACCTGTGGTGCTGCTGGTGGTAAGCAGAGACCGCGCGAGGAACCCTGGGCAAAGTCTGAGCATGGAAACCTGCTCAGTGGGGAGGACAGGAGCCCAGCTCTGCTCCCCCAAACACAGCGACTTGTGCAGAGCTTACAGCAAAGAGATGCTGAAACCAAACAGATCTGCTGATTTTATTTCCCAAGAGACCCTGGCAACTTCCCCTAGTGAAATGCGGCAGTCTAGAGAGGTGGATTTCAGGGCCTGGATGTTTCTGACCTTGCACATCCATGGCCCCACCATTTGCATATCCCTCCCCCTCCCGGCACAGGGGAGCTGGAGATGAAGTCTGCCCATCTCCAAGGCCGAGCGCAAGCTCACCGTGCTGCAGGGACGAGGCCTCCTCCATCTCTTCCCCGGCCGTGCTCTGCAGGGAGGAAGAGCACGGTTACTCCTGCAGGCTGGCCCTTCGCCGCGCTTGTCTTCCACTCTAGCGCTCTCCAGAGAGCTGCATGCAGGGCCAGGGACTTGCTGCAGGCAGGACACATGGGGCCCAGCACTAACCCTGTCTCAGGATGGAGGGCTGGCAGCTCTCACACACAGGCAACAGCCCTCCAAGCAACCAGTTTTCCAAAGACGTTAGACGCAGCGAGCGGCGCTGCCCTTACACCATGCAGCCCCACAGGAAAATGGGAGCAGCTCCCTGGCAGGGCACGGACTCACCTCCGGAGAGCTGGTCTCCCTCAGGACCAGCTCACCCCCGCTCAGCACCGGCTGCGAGTCCAAGTCCTCGGAGAGCTTCTCTTCGTCCTCCTCGTGGATGGGCGACGAGGGAGACCGCAGTGTGCTGAGGTGAGAGAAACCCCGTTGGCAAGCGGAGCCCAGAACGCCGGCGCCAGCGCCCCACGCCTCGGCGGCCTCTGCGCCCAGCCCATCCTCCCCCAGCACCACCACGCGGGACCAGGAGCTCAGACTGTTGAGCTCAATTCACCGGAGGCCTCCAGCATCCTCTCCACGGAGAGCAGCAGCAGCAGCATTTCTGGGGCAGAAACGAGCCGTGCAGAGCTCGGTGCAGCAACACAACCAGGACAAATCCTGCCTTCTCCCTCAGGCTGCTCCTCAGACCTTCAGGGTTCTAGCTCCACTGCGAAGCTCCCTTCCCAGGGGAAATCTGATGAAACCATGGAGCAGGCACAGACCTCACTCAAACCATGGCGGCAACCTCCTCCTTGGCACACCGTGTCCCTTTCATTCTAGCCAGGACACGGCTGCAAACTTCAGCCACCTGGGGCACTGCTGAGCTCTGGGCTGGATTTCTCCCAGCAAGCAATGACTTGCTGTTGGTAGGGAGGTGATGAAACCTAGTCAGCAGCTGGAACAGGGAGGAGAAGCAGGAACAAACCCAGTTTGATCCAGCTTTGCCTTTTGGGTGGCCCAGCACCCAACCCACAGGGTCTACATCCTCCACCACAAAGCCAACAGAATAGGCCTCACACAGCAGGGGCCTCCTCTTCTGGCTTTTTCTTGTGAATTTTACAGCAGAAATCCAATAGTTTGGATGTCAAATGCAAATTGAGATGTTAATTACATAGAGACTTCCAGAATCTGGGCGAAATCTCCCTGTTAAAAATGCTCTTTCCATTCCTGACAAACCCAACTCTAAGGAGAGATGAGCTGGTTGCCATAGGCCTAACACGGGGGCAGCGTCCCAAGCCTCTCGCTGGCCTCCCATCGTGATGAGTTCTCAGCGCGACCAGACAGGAGCAGCCGGGGCCTCTCCCGCCTCCCGGCGCGTGCGACGAGGGAGCAGCCCCTCTGCTCCATGCTGACCTATCTGGAGACTTGCTCCGCTTGCCCTTCTGGTGGCCGCTCTCCACGGCTCTGTCCATGCCGACGAGCGGCCGGCTCGCAGGGGGCATCCCGTCCACCACGCCGGAGTAGCTGATCTCGTCGTACAGAGGGGCTGACGGCATGGAGGGGGAGACCGAGCGAAGGCCGTTCAGAGCTTCCAGCAGGGAAATGGGCTCGTATCCCGGAGGGATGTTGTCAGAGCTCTGCGGGTGAGAAAGAGAGGGGCACGTTAAGAAACCCTCGCCAGGCTGAAGCCCCTGGAGACCGGAAGGCCCTGCTGCAACCCCGTCTGCAGCTCCCCGCACGTGCAGGCGGCCCGTCGCCTCTCCATGCACAGCCCCAGCTCCTTCCCCTGCAACAGGGAGTCTCCAAGGAGCTCAGTGCATGAGCAGCACACGAGGGCTGGCCTCTGGTGCCTACAATACTTCACCATGGACTCCGTTTCTTTTGCTGTTTATGCGTGTTTTCCACCCAACTACCTTTGTAGAAAAACAGGAAAGGGACCACACACCACAGATCCACATAAGGACAGGGGCAAAACCCTGCACTACTTCCAATTCCTTCTGTAATTTACTTAGTTGCCAGTCAGAGGGACCCTTCAAAAGCCATTAAACCAACATTAGTTTAACGCAAAAAAAAAATCCCAGTCGTCAGGCCCCAAAACCTTACAGCATTTGCATTGCTACTAGGAAGTCAGTGGGCAGCGCAGTCCAGCCTGCTGCAAGCGAAGAGGCAAGAGCGACACAGTCCAGGTTCAGATGAACTTGAGCTGTCCCAGCACTGACCCTCAGGGAGGCTGTTCCACCTTGGTACAAGGTGTCTAACTGCGTGTTGCGCTGGCCATGAAACCCTGCAGCTCCCCTGTGCTGGCTCTCACCGGTGAGCCTGTTCCACAGCTTGTTCTGATTCAGCCATAAACTTGGGGGTTATTGGACTGCTCAACTGACTCACCTGTGTTCAGAGAAGCTACTTCTGACAGGGCAGGAGAGAACGAGTGGCACCTGGGGCCAAGCATCAACCCACAGCCCCCAGGTAATGGCCTTGTGGCACTTAGCTTCAGCACTTGTGCTGAAGACCAAAGCTGGGGACTACAGGATAACCAAGTCAGTTCACAGGTGCTGCCACCTCTAGGTGTTGGGTTCAAGAGCCATCTCCACAGAGGCATTTCATCTGCAGGCAGCAGCTTGGAGAAGCTGTTTCATGGACAGAAGAGTCAGGCTCACATTTGCTCCGTTGTCTGCTGGCTGCAAAAACCAAGGCTCAAAGGTTCAAAGGCTGCTTGTTCCAGTTTGCTTTGGCAAAAGCTCAGGTTCTGTGGCACAGCTCAATGGCTGGAGAGGGATCTCAGCCAGATCTGAGCTGGAAGTTACTGAAACTCTCCAGCAGTCCTACAGACACTGCTCCTTCCTGGGACACTCACCACTGCCCCGTCCCTGGCTCCCACTGCTCCAGCAGGAGCAGTTGCTGGCTGCAGCTTGCAGAGAGCCACATGGAACTTGCATTTTTCCCAGCTTTAGGCTTTCCCAGACCTGACAAGCACAGTAAGCCAGGACCCTCCTCAGCCCAAGCACCCAGCCTGTCTGGAGCCAAAGAAAACTGCAGTCTCTTTGATATGGACAGCTGTGCCTGCAGCTGATGGACTACACCAAGGGTCACAAACAGACCCCTCCTGGCACACATGCATCCCTCCCCTTTCATCTTCCTTCTGGTCCCCCCATTGCCATTCATGGTGTCCCCATAGCAAAGCTACAGTACCACAAGCTCTCGCCAACCTGGTGAGTCCCCAGCGCAAGCTCCATCTTTACTCTGCCTGTACAAGCAAAACAGGTCACTGCAGCCAGCGTTCCTGATACAAGACCTGATCCAGGTCTGTCCATCATCTACCTCTACATCCCAGCACTAGGGTGGAAACCACAGCAAGAAGGGCCCAAGCCAAACTGCCAAGGGATGTGACAAGTGTGGGAAAGCTTTAGGTGAGCCGTGGGGACGGCAGATTACCCACAGCCCTACAAAGCCATGAAAATATCTTGGCCAGAAATGATATAGCAGCGAGCCCTGGTGCCAAGGGCTCCGATAGACGTGTGGGCCTGCCCTTCCCCAGAGCCAAGAGCAGACCAGCGAGGTGGTCCTTGTCCGTGCAGGCCGTGAGCATCTCAGCGCCACGTGGAGCCGGTGCTCGGAGTGCCAGCGTGTTAGCAAGCCCCGACACGTGTGACACTCACGTGCTAGTGTGACTGCTGGCAAGTAACTGCCAGAGGAGCCAAATGCAACTAAGTCCACTTACTGTTTCCCTCCTAGGTTTCCTGCTGGGCAGGGAGACAGTGTTGACTTTAATGGACTTAAAGGGACACTGTCAAGAGAAAATCATGTTTCAAACAAAGGTTTTCTTGAGGTTAGTAACATGGAAAGACACACAGCATCTACTTGCCTTGCTCTAGGTGATGGCACCTGCTTCCTCTTGGTACCACACTCTGCTTGACAACAACCCTTGGGGTCTCTGTCCTGCCCTGTGCCTTAGTCCCTGCTGCTCCAGCACGGTGACAGAGCTGCAGCAGATGGCTGGACCAAACCAGGCTCTTTCTGTGATGACCCCTTTCTGTTCCCACCCCTGAGATGGTCTAGATGCAGGTGTCCCTCTCCTCGCCGGGATCGCGTGGTGCTGCAGCACTGCCTGGGCAGGGGGTTCTGCCTGCAGCGCACTGGGGATGTGCGACTTGGCCCCGAGGGCCACCCCAAATTCTCTCAGCTGCTCACAGAGATCTCAGTCACAGGGGGACTGGAAAAAGGTGTCTTGCTGTTGCTGGACTGGGAGCCCCAAGGCCAAAGGCATTTCAGAGTGTAGTGAGGGATAAGGCTGCACTTCAGGAGGCCTCACTCTGAGGTCCCTGGGATGCACGTGGAGAGGCCAAGGGCCTCGTGTTGAAGCCTCCTGCTCAGTCCAAAACTCGGCGCTCAGGCCCCAGGCTTCCTGCAAGTTACTTACAGAGTGCTCATCGTGGTCGACAGTCTGTGCCAAGACAGGGCTGAACGACACCGGCGACAGAGCCCCCGGCTTTTTCCTCACAGCTCGGATCTGCAGCAGGGCCCGGAAGGCTACGAGAGAAAAAACACCCGTGTGACTAAACAGCCAGACGGGACCAGGCTGGAGCGCCTGGGTGCTGGAGATGGAGTGAGCTGCTCGGAACGACGCTGCGTGCGTGAGGAGTGGGGCCGCAGACCCCAGGGTTTTGGCCGCACCAAAACCAAGCTCTGGGGTCTGGTTCCTCTAGGTCAAGACAGGGGAGAGATCTGCCAGCAGAAAAAGCCTGGGCATACACAGCCCTTGAAGAACAAGCAATATCATATGATTACTAGGAAGAAGGTGCCTCTTGGCTAGGAGCATGAGAAGGATCCTGAGCATGTTTCTGTCTAACTTTTAAGCAGGAGTAAATTTTTACATATACATTATTTTACATGATGAATCAGATCCATCCATAATTTTTGGTTCTACCAAGCCCTTTACTGTGTTACAGTATGAGTCAGTTCTGTGCAGACCTGAAATGGGCCATTGGGGCTGATTTTGCACTTCCAGTGTAACCTTTGAACAATCTGCTTTGGTATAGTGACACAGAGAGGACATTCAGGCCTAGCGCTGCTCATCACAGTAGGAAAAGCCACAAGCTCCATCTTGGGCAGCACACTGCAAGCTACAGAATGGGGGGAGCCTCACGTAAAACTGGACCCTGGGTTCGTTCAGGCGCCCCGTCTCAGGACCGGGTGCAGCTCGAGCTGGGTGTCCCCCCAGCATTGCACCCCATGGACTGCTCGCTACCTCGGAGCCCAGCCACAAGGCAGGGGGCTGCACTGCTCTCTCCAGCCAGCAATCCCCTGGTTCTCCCACCAAATCAGCTTTGATCTCCACTCCCTGCCTGCTAGCCTGGTCTCTGGCTATGTATATTTAACGTGCAAACGAACCTGACATCTGCTCTAACGCAGTTGTAAGAACGCTTGCACCTATGGAAAAGACTGGGCATTTTTATTTCTTTATCTACGCAGCTGCTTGCAAGACCAGAGCCAGAGGAGAGAGGTGCAGATCTGTCCTCTCTGCTTCTGCACTTGCCAGGAAGCCTCATGTAGGAGCACTTTCCAAATACAACTCACTCCACTGCAGCATACAGATGAGATTACACTGTTCTAAACTGTGCTACTTGTAGTCAAAGCTGTCTGGCACTTTCCCTGATAAGATCCTGTTTTCAGTTATTGCATCTTTGCCAAGTCTTGACCGTTTAGGCTTATTTTTTCTTCAGGCCAAACACCTGCCTTAGGGTTTTTGTTTTGTTTTGTTTTGTTTTCTAAAAAGCTTCAGTAAGAAATATTCAAATATCCTGGAGCACGTGTCCAGGCCTGGGCTTCCAGGATGAGAGAGATATGGGGTTACTGGAGCAAGCCCAGCCAAGGGCTACTCAGATGACTAGAGGTCTGGAGCATCTCTCCTATGAGCTCAATCACAGGGTAAAATGTGATCTGTCTGTTCAAACAAAGATGCAGCCATTTTCTTGAAGGACTCCATACTTTGGGGAAAACACCTGAAATTGGGCAAACGTTGCCTGAGTGTCAAGAGGAGTATTTGCTTTTTTTCTCTCTTGGGACCAGAGGAATGGTAGGGTTAGGTGGATCCTCACAACCCTCTGAGTGGGCAAAGTCCCCTCAACTAGAAGAGGGAACAGCTTAGGGGCTGCGCACTCAGCATCTGCCCTGCTGGCCCCAAGCAGCAGAAAGGCAGAGGGATCAGACTGACCAACATGCAAGAGGGAATGGAGGAGCTGGCAGTGACTCTAACAGAGGCACGGAAGTTTTCTGAGTTTCCCAGCAGTTTTGTTTCAAGCCACTACTATGCAACACCTCCCTCTTCCATCAGAGGTGGTCCTGGATGGCCGGATCACCCTGCTCCTCACAGTCAACAGAGAACTCAAACCCCACCAGCAAAGCATCACCTTGCTCCGGACAGCGAGGACTAAACACAGGGGCTGTTTAGATGGCACTGCTCCAAGTGCCTGTACCCCAGATTCATCCTAGGGAGAGGGCAAATGCCCAGGGAGGCACTGGGCAATGAGCCACTCTCCCAGCACTCCTCCTTCCCTGTTAGAGCACAGTTATTTTGGGCATCAGGAGCCTCCACACAGCCATCAGAGCAGTAGCACATTTCATGTCTAGCCTTGGGGTGACGTATATAAAATACATGCTCGCTCTCTCAACTTCTGCTGACTTAAGAGGAGCCTGGGAGGGAGAAAGAGGCCCTTTTTTCCTGGGCACATACTCACGCAGCCTGCAGATGGGGCAGTTGTTGGCCTGGTAGCGCAGTGTGTCGGCACACGAGTTGCACAGACAGAGGTGCCTGCAGGGCAGGATGAGGGTGTCGCGGAGGTCCGAGAGGCAAACCACGCACTCGTTGCTGTTGTCACTGTTCTCATCGTCCGAAGGCTGCAAGGAGAGGCAAAACTTTGGCACGTGAATAGAAAAGGCCGTACAGAATGACCAGAGGACTCTGCAGCCTGAGATTTCCCACCCGAAGGTCTGCAGGAGAGCTGGCATCCTCGCGCTCTCAGGGGGTTTCTCGAGAGCCTGCTCCAGCCTACACAGCCCTGCTAGGGATGCTCCTTCCTCCCAGGGCAGAGGGAGGCAGCCCCAGGTCCCACGGCCCCTCTGAACCCATGAGGGAGTGAGCACTTTTCCTGCCACCCACTGCTGCCCCTCTAGTGCTGGCACAAGCTCTGGTACAGTTGCAGAAGCAGCTTGTGATGTTACCTAGCTAACCCTGGCAAAAAGCTCAGTTCGAACCCATTCGACATGGACCTGCATCATGCCACTCCTCCCACCATTCAGAGCCCCAGTGAGCTATTGCTAAGAGCAGAACTTAAGGAAGTTCTGTAAAACTGAATGGAGGTGCAGAATCCTGCACCTGAGGAGAAACAACCCCAGACCCCAGACAGGCTGATCGGCTGGAAAACAGCTCTGCAGAGAAGGACATAGGGGCCCTCCTGGACAAGGTGGACACGAGCCAGCAGTGTGCCCTTGTCACCAAGGCCAGTGGCATCCCCGGGTTGCAGTGCCAGCAGGCCGAGGGAAGCAATCCTTTACTCAGCACTAGTGAGGCCATTCCTGGAGCACGTGTCCAGGCCTGGGCTTCCAGGATGAGAGAGATATGGGGTTACTGGAGCAAGCCCAGCCAAGGGCTACTCAGATGACTAGAGGTCTGGAGCATCTCTCCTACGAGGAAAGGCTGAGAAGAGCTGGGACTGGTCAGCCTGAAGACCACTGGAGTGGGGGATCTTATCCATGCATATACATGTATGAAGGGAGGGTGGAGAGGATGGGGTCAGACACTTTTTAGCAGTGCCCAGTGAAAGGACAAGAAGAAACAGGCACAAACTGAAACACAGGGTATTCCAGCTGAAGCTATGGAAGTTTTTTTTGACAGTAGGGGTGACTGAGCACTGGGACAGGTTGCTCCATCCTTACAGATATTTCAAAACTGGATCTGGGGCAAACTGCTGCAGATGACCCTGCTCAATAAGGCAGTTGGACTAGTTGATCTTTAAAGGTCTTTTCCAGCCTCAGCTGTTCTGTGATTCCAGTAAACCCACCCTCCAATCAGGAGGGCTCTTCACTGACACCATGGATCCTTCCAGTCCCACTGCTGATGACACAGGCACTGAAAAGCAGATACCCCAGCACTTTGGACCCTCCCTCTTAGGCTGCTCTCATCAGCTCCGTTTCACATGGTCCTTTCGGTGTCACGGGGTGGGGGGAACACACGCAACGCCCCGGGCAACCCCCCGGCATAAAGGGCACTATACAGCATCTGCTCGTGCAGCATCCGCAGCCGCTCCGCTGACCGCGGCAGCGAAAGGCTGCACGGCTGCCTGCCCATCACATGGGCTGCTCATCTATTTTGGGAGGCAGGGAGGGCAGACGTTCTGCTTTCCCATTCACACAGCCTGCTAAGTGTACTGAGAAGAACAAAAATGCCCCCAGGCCACTTGTTTGATGGGCTGCAATTGTGGGATTGCTGGATCGAGAGATTCATCACAAGACCCTGGAAGACCCAAAGAGAAGCCTTCAATCCTCTTAAATAGATCTGGTACAAGCTTTGAGAAGACTTTTCTGCCTGCCCCTTCAGGCACTACCTGTTGGCACAGGCACACGGAAATCACAGGGATGCTTTGGGCAGGGCAGGGCATTGCTCAGAGAGGAGGGCTGGTTTGTCTCGCTCTGCAACTGCTCCTGTGCTTACAAATCACACACTCCATATACCAGAGCAGTCCAATCCAGAGGCCAGCACTTGGTGCAGCGAGTCAAGCACTATGCACCCAGCCAGCAGCAAAGAGCAGCTCTAGATAAGCCTGAATCAAGCACAAGTCAGGCAATCTGCTTGAAGCTGTGCAGCAAGCCAGGATTCAGCAGATGCTCCTGCCTAAAGATGGGCAGTGTTCCTAGTTGAGGAATTTTTCATGCACACTCCTTGATGTCAGCAATGCTGTGCTCCCTCCTGCAGGGGAACGTGGGTTGCTCTGTGGACTCTGGCAAGCCTGAAGAGCTCAGCTCCTTGCAGTGCTATGGAAACCTACAGTCCCCTGATAAGAAAGCCCAGGATAACATGTATGGAGCCATAGACAAGCTCAAGGACCTGGCATCCCTGGGCTTCAGCAGTACCTACAGTAATGACACGACCTGGTGGCCCTTCTGAGATGCATCTCCATGTTGCCACGCCAAAAACTGTATTTGCACTTAGGTGCTCTCTGGAAATGGAATGCTCTCCAGAGAGCATTAGGTGCTCTCTGGAAACACACAGTTCAGGGAGAAGGAGCCTTCTGAGCACCTTTACCTTGGTCTCTTGATTGTTTTTGTTCTCGATGCCATAGATCTCCTGAAGCAGATAGCTCACCCGGTCAACCTCGAGAAAAGGACAGCAAGTTAGAATGACAGTCACTGCAGTTTAAAACACTTCAAGTTGGGACAAAGAGCATTAATGAACTAATTCCAGAGCCTCCTCAGGCAAGGCAGTGTGCAGCTTGCAGGCCTGCTGTTCTAGGCCTGCATTTCAAGGCAGTGAGGTCAGCAGCTGGACTGCTGAGCAAAATCCTCTGCAGTGTCTCACAAGTCACCCAGGAAATTTGGGAACAGTCGTGTGGGAGCAGTGCTTCCACAGCTTGACATTTCAAAGAGCGCCTTGTTGTGGCATCCTGACTCCTCAGAGGATCAAGGCGTGTGACAGTAAGTGCAGAATTGGTCTGATTGAGTCCCTGCAGGAGTTTGTGTTCCTTTTACTACTGGCCTCTCAAGAAACCCCATGAGAAGCTTATGTTCCAAAAAGAAATGGGCAAGCATGCAACAAAGCTCTTGCTAGAAAGACCCCCAGGTTTTAAAAGAGTAAGTAAGCAGCAGCAGATAATTGTACATAGCTCAATCCTCCACCTTCCTCCCACGTCTGACTGTACAACATTCACCCCAACATTAAGCAGCAGTTCAGAGCCTCTGCTTGTGTAATATCTGAGCAAACTGGGTGAGATCTCAGGCTGTTGGTGAAATGACCTCAAAGCTTCCTGCTGGGTGCAGCTGGACACCTGTGAGGCAGCAACAATGTCTTTAATCAAGCTGCAGAGAAAGAACAGGTACTTACAATTTGCTTCTGCTTTAAAGGCTTCACAGAGAAACTGCCATCAACATGCTAGCAAGAGAAGAAGAAAAAAGCAAATGCATTGAATGGATGACACAATTTAAAGAGTAAAACAGATTCATGAACAACAGAGTTAGCATTTGCCAGCCAATGACGGAGGCACAATCAAAGCTCGTCCGCTAGCTAAAGTCAGAAACAAGTCAAACGTGCTCCACACGGCCATCCTCAGAGCCAAACTGAGTGACGTCTCCTCGCACCTCATCTGCTCACGGGCAACAGGCACAGCTGGAACAATTCTGCACATATCTGATGTCGAAACTACTGTTAGAAATACGGGGCTAGTTCTATTTTCTCCATCATCCGTCAGGACAAACTAAACTGAAGCAAACCAAGTCCTCTGCCAGAACCTACAGGAAGCAGGGAGCAAGATTTGGGGGAAGCTCCGTCAGGTCTTGCTGGTGTGAACAGCTGCAGACACATCTGTTTGCTGGAGGAGTTTCAGAGGAAGGAACAGAAGACAAAACAGTCCTACTTTCCAGGCAAACACAAACCGCCAAGTTTCTGCCTTTGGGATAGCTGCAAGGCCAGACCATGCAGGGTCAAGGGTACAACTCTGTTCTTAAAGATACATATGAATACATACAAGGTACTAAGGCCTGCTGGTCTGGCAGTCCCCTGAGCACGCTCTGGTGATCAGCAGCAGTGCTGATCAGCAAAGACCAGCTCTGGGATTAATGGCCCTGCACTTCAATCCCTAAGGACTGGGAGTTTGTTTTAGCCACTTTGCCCTGTGACCTTTAATAAAGAGATTTTGATCTTGTTTGTAAAACACTTGACTGGAAGATCAGAAGAAGTGGTCCCAAAGGACAAAGCCTCACTCTCATAGCACACAGACTGGAAAAAGCAGTAAAGCACTTAAACTTTTGAGCTCTGACAGGGACATTGGGAATAACCAGCATCTATGCAATGGCCTGATCAGTTCTGGGTGCTTCCCAGTTTTGTCACGTATCTCACAGTCTCTGAGCACTAGGGGCATATTTGCCTTCATCTCTGCGTATCCAGAGAGGTCAGAGCTCCACAGAGCACATAGAATTTGCCTATAATCCCAGAAATGAGGCTTATAGAGCTCTTCAAGCAGTTCAAGCCATTTCCAAACTCGTAGGGAAGTTTCCAAAGCTTTGCTTTTGCAGTCATACAAATACATTCCTGTTGTATTCCTAATAAGAATACATTCCTAATACACACTGGACCACCCTGCACGGATTGGCACTTTTTGTCCACAGACTCTGCAGTGTTAGGATGTGCTCAGGGTTTGCATCTGCTGGGCCTCAAAGCGTAACTGAAATGGAAAACATCACAACTGCCTTAGCAGTCTCCTGCCTAACCAACACGCACCAGGAAACTTCTGGTATCAGTCACAGGCGAGGTGCCACTTTTACAACTGTGGGGACTAAACTTGCTCCACAGGAAGATACCCCAAGGAAGAGATTTCTGTCTTCATTAAGAGACATGAAAAGTATTTGTGTGAGATGTATTCTAATTCCTCCAAGTGGCTCGGTCCTACATTTGGGTAAGGCCAAACGATGGTGGAACAGGTCCTGGACACAGCAGATCTGGTTGTGCAGAGGTTATAAAGCTCTGGAAAATGCCCAGCAGCAGCCTTGGTCGACACCGAGCACATTCAAACATCACAGGCACCAAGGAACACCCTCTCCCCACACACAGGAAACACCAGCTACAATTAGCTGACTGACCAGCTCAGGTACAAATTATAATTACAGGTTGCATAGGAGCTGCTGTGAGCAATTATTGGTACTACGATAGTGCTTAGGAACCCTAGGCATGGACCAGGTCTCCACTGTGGCTAAGTATTACATAAATACAGACTAATGACCCATGGAAATGTTTATATACCCAATGACATGGACAGAAGGAAAAGAAACCTCATTTACCTTTTCAAATGCAGCCAGAAGAACATGAGCATGACCTGTCACCTCAACCACCACTGAAAAAAAAGAGAGAGAAAAAGCAGCTTGCTTAAAATCTTAAACAAGGCCAGTAGTTTGATGCATGCTACAGGAGAGGGAGGATGTGGGCATCCTCGATTATCCACCGCAGAATCCACCAAGCTTCGAATGGGTGCTCCATACTACCCTACTTTGTTTTCAGAGTTTGGAACAGGAAAGTAATACAAAGAGCTCAATAGGATCCTGCTCTCCCCCAAATTCCTGTTTTTAATTATCCAAATTTATCACAGCAAGGGACAAATCCATCTGGTTTAGCAGCAGTTGGCAGCCCTTCCAGCCCTGGTACTTATCACTTTGTTTCAGTCTAATCCTACACGCTTATAAAACATTTATTTCTCATGCCATTTTTGGACACTGAAACATCTCTCGCCAGTTCTCTGACTTTTCTCCAATAAGAAATACCATGTGTTCCCTCTTCCAAATTTGAGGCTTCTCTTAATTCAGAGGCAGCCAGGAAGGGCTGTTGCAGGTTTCTGCATTGCATTCATAGCTCCTTCAGCAAATAAAAACATGGGGAAGGAAGGCACCAAAGAGAGGAATCCCATGGTACAATCCCAAACCCTCTAGCTCAGGACTCTCAAATTCTGTTCAGCTCCATCAGGTAAAGTCCTTTTGCCTAAATATGCTCAGATTCATCATACCAGAATGGGAGAAAGAGACCTTGGCAGAGCTATTGAAGAAAGGAGTGAAAGGTGGGTAACTACCTCGCCTGACCCACACGAAGCACCAGAATTGGGTTCAACACACATGGAAAAGGTGACAGTGAATATTATCAGCAACAAGCGAATGAAGTGACTCCCGTGATATCTAAAAGGGATGAGAGCCTGGCAGATTCGAGATCCCACAAAAAACAGAGACAACAGCAGGAACTTGTCACTGGATTCTGATGTGAAAATCAGGTTTGCAAACTGCAGGATGAGGGATGAGACTCCAAGCCTGGAGACTTGCTGGATAACCAGGAAGGGTCTTAGCAACTAGGCTGCAACCAGGACTACAATGACATGTAGAGAAGAGGGCTAGAAAAGGGGATTCATCTACCCGCTGCTTCCCTGCCAGCTAAGAGCAAGTCTCTTCCAGCTCACTCGGAAATGAAATTCAGGTCCCTCAGAGCATTTTCTGTGGCCAAGTAACAGATAACAGACATTGCTTCCCTTCGTATCCTGTTCCATGGCTGGAGCTGCGTGACCTCAGCCTGCTCAGCATCTTCCCTCCCCTACGGCTTTACTCGGAGTTACTGCATTGGCAGGAACGGGACGACTGCTAACATTACAGCCTCACGTTCTCCAAGGAATGCAAACAGCTCCTGGCAGAACGCAGGCCAAAACAAAATTGCTCTGCCTGCTATTTCGATTTGCCATTCAATTTTATTTAACGCAAATAGTTGCAAGACGGCCATAATTTTCCAGGTGCTCCAAACAGACAGGGCCAGCTCCTCCCGATACCAGTAGTTAATAAAATAACAACAATAAAAAAGACATAAATATGTCTTTTATATATATATATATATATATATATATATATATATATAGCGCTATTGATAGCTAATGGAAGGCAAACAGTACAGTTAGCTGGACTTTTTTATGAAAAGAGCTTACCCCTCAACAAGGCAGAAGAGACCACTGCCCTCCTTGTCTTAGAGTGCATAACCCAAAGAGAGAGGGGATCATTTGCTCTGATTTATGCCTAACCCGAGGGGCACAGCCAGGAACTAGCCTTCCTTCTCTTGAATACGACTCCAACAGTAATTACTTGATCATTTTCCTGTAAAAATGAAAGCTATCTTTAAAAGTACATTTTTGTGTACTGTGGTCAGTCTGTGGCTAGCTGGGCCTGTTTAAATAGGTGGGAGTTAAGGTGAATTCCTGAGATATTTTTATTATGGAAAGGTTCCCCAAGCCTCTGCTGTGAGTAAAAGGTTTCCACTGTTGCAGAATGAGGCCTGTCCAGGCAGAGTCCCAAAACCTCAGAGTGGGAGCAGGAGAAAGCGTGAGCGAGCACAACGCCTTGCTTACCATCCCCTTCGTCCACCACGGCGCGGATCACCACCGGGAACACGCCGCGGTCCAGGTCGAAGTTCAGCTGAAGGAGAGAAACAGGAGGAGTTTAGGCAACTCACACCAGGCTTTCCTGAAGACGATATCTAAGACAGCACTAACATCATGGGAGTGAGGTTCCAAGATACCAAGTTTTGGTGCAGATGTAGTGACCCAGGGCTTTTCTCCAGGAAGGATGTGGCGCTGCACTGCTGTCAGCCAGGCCCTCTGAGATGATGGGATATCAGCAGATCCCACCTCAGAAGTTTCCCCAATATTCCCTGCTGGAGTAGCCCTTTGGAAGGTCTCTCCATCTCCACTTTCAAAGGAATGCTCTGAACTCCTGATAGAGCAGGCTGCTTTAAAAGTCAGACATCGACTTTCGGAGGAAATGAGTCAGATTAACAGCAACTGGGACTAGCAAAGCAAGTATCTCAGTTCACGTTTTATATGGTATTTAATACCTTAAAAATCTCTTAGCTGGACAACTTTCTCAGAATATAACTAGCGACATCAATGTTGTTTAGGTATGATGGGATATTCTGGTCACAGAACAGCAGTGAACATTTCACTTTCTCAGTCTCCCCCCAACTCCTGTTTGGGATTTTTGAAAATGCTGAGAAAAATCTGTAAAATTTCAAGCTCACAGACCACTCTAAAGAAACACTAGACTGATTTCCACCTTTTGGCATGCCATAGAATTCACATCCTTGACCTTCTAATACATTTCATTACAGCACTTCAAAAGCTCTACACAATCTTATAAACACTAGAAAAATGCAAAGCTAAAAGAAGACCTTACAATTTGGCTCTTCCTGTCTCAGCTAGCCCTCAAGCCGGAAGGCTACTGATTTTCCTCCTTTGTTTGGTGGTCTTTGGTCATTCTTTAAGCCACCATAATGCAATTCTCTTTCCAAAGCAGCAACATAACACAGCAAACAAACAAACTCATTTAGTTTATCAGTATTTGCTAGAAGAGATTCATTTGGCCGCTATTTTCCTTCTTACATTTTTGAGTTATTCCAGCATGCCACAAAGAGAAAGCTCATTAAAGACTATTGATTAAAATTCTGCTGAAAGAAGCTCATGGCTTTGCTTTGCTTCCTGCTCTGATTTATTACTGTAAGCCAACAGTTACTTTTTTGTCCCTTTCAAGGCAAAGTCGCATCCTAAGTCTGTGGTTGCTTTATGATACAAACTTTCTCATTCTGAAATGTGTGGCCTCTTTAAGGTTCCCTTCACAACCGCCTCGATGCAAGCCTTACAGTACAGCCTGGAAGCAAAGCAGCAAATTATGAAGTTTAAACCTACATTTTTATAAAGTTTTTTTTTCACATAACAACTCGACATATTGTTTTCCCTTCTGTCAGCCAGCCAAGAACTATATCACATGCAAGTATTACAGTGGGCAAAAATATTAACTAAATCTTCTTTTGATAACACTAATAATCTGGAAAGCAATCTGAAGTATTTAATAGTACACAGCTGAACGATAACGCTCTGCCAGATGTCAGATAAAAGTGCTGCATTTTGGGTGGACAATCAGGAAGCTTTGGCCATAAGAATATAATTTATTGGACTTGAGAGGGAAAAGAACTCTACATACACAGAGCCAAAAGAGGAGAAGAAACTCTTCAAAGCACAGGGCTTGTTCTACATTTTCTCTACAACCAGAGCTCCCAGTAACATCTATGAAAGAGATGAGCAAAGGCAGCCAAAAGCTTACTTCTTTCCACAGCATCTCTCCCTTTAAGCTGTCAGAGGGACATGACTTCAGTACTCAAGAGCTAAAAACTAGTTGGCAGGAACAAAAGTGAAAACTAAGCTTCTCAATTCTTTAGGAAGAAAGGGATCTGTTCTCCTACTTTCCAGCTCTCTCAGATGACAGAAGGGTTTGAAAAGCAGCTCTTCCAGGCTTTTGTAGGTTGAGCTTGTGAAATCATATGTTGGCAGAGAAGCCAGGACATCAGGAGACCAGACTCTGCAGGCTCTTGGAGGAGTATGGTAATTGCCACAGAGTTTGTTAAGGCACCACACTGATTATAGTTATAATTGTAACTTCAAAACAATAGCTATTGAATCTTTTCAAAGCCTATAAAAGCTTTTTTTTTTTTTTTAATAGGTAGTTACCTACCATCGTTCACATGTTCAATACCATTCTATAGGCTTGGGTCAGGAAATGAGCACCGTATTGATTTTGAGCTGGCAGAGGGGTTCCCAGGAACAAGCAATTAGCAGCAGACACAGAGCAACTCTGCTGCTTCAGAACCTCTTAGAGAGATTCTGTGCAGAGCCAGGTGAGACCAAGACCGTCCCTGCCCTTGGACCAACGTTTTGGGGGCTAGAAAAGCAGAGAGGTAACATTTCCATTGGAATTTTGGAAATATATCAAAATGAATACAACTCCATGGATCTTGCTGTGTAGCAAAAGCCACAGGGTTCGATTAAAACCAAACCCATGGCTGTTTGCAGTTTTGGGTTAATCTACACGAAGGCAGGCAACCCCTTTTTGGGGCTAGTGCACCAGTGTGGATCTGCCCCAGGGGCGACAGCATCCCCACACAGCACATGGCCCTCAAAGGAACAAGACTCTTCCAGAGGACGAGCCAAAAGAAAAAAGAAAGACCAAGACAGAGCTTCAGAGCCTCTAGTGGCTCTGTCCCAGGATAACTGGGAAAGATCCACAGGAACCAGACAGGGGCACATTATTCCCACAAGCTCTTTGGTTGGCAGGGACAAGGCTGAAAAGCAGCAGGTTCCTCTGGGAATGGCTCCAGTGTCCATCTCTGCAGCCTCCCTCCTGTGCCAGCTGCCGGGATGCCAGTTGGTCAGTGACATCAGTAGTCCCTTCTTTGGCTTTTTCTTCACACTCTGCCTCAACTACCTGCCAAGTCCCCGTGCAGTGTTCATACCTGCTCTTCCCCTGGCTCCCTCAGCCTCATAGCCACAAAACAGGCCATGGCAGCGGTGAGTGGCAATCCTCCAGCCATAACCCAGTGACACTAAATGAATTCCTGTGCTTCTGGCACAACAGGGTTGCAGAAAGAAGGAAAGACTTTTTCTAAGGAAAGACTTTCCTTTCTCTAAGGAAAGACTTACCTCATCGTCCTTCCAGTCTGAGAAATCAATCTTGAAGGAAGGCAGGGAGAATTGCTGGCTTACTCCTCTCTTGTAATGAACCGTCTCCGACTGCAGAGAGGGATTCTTTGTGCTGTATCTGAATAAAGGGGGGAATAAAAGAAAACTTGCTGTAACAAACGATTGCTCTCTGCTGGGCTCTCATTCATTCACGCCTGTCTGCCTTTCAGGAATCACAAGTGGCAGCTCTAAGAGGCAGAGCTGGCAGAGGCTGGCAGCCATTCACTGAGAGACAAAAAGGAAAGGGAAAAGGTCAAGGCAAGACGGTGAGCACAGGGAAGGGAAAGCAGCACAAACAGGCAAGGTCTCCTTCGATCCATCCTGACCTGCCTGGAAACACTGGGCGTCAAAGCAGTACCGTGGGGTGCGGCAGCCTGGCACAGGGCAGCTCACGAGATCCGGGCCTGGGCAATGCCAGCTTCCAGCCCAGCACACAGCCTTTTTATTCCGCAGGAAACCCAGGAAGAACGAGCAGTATCTACCAGTGACAACACACAAGGCAACGTGGCATTGAGCTCTCCCATGCCTCCACAGGGCAGCTCTGCAGGGAGGAAAGCAGCTCAGCATGGGATCACCCTGGCAAGCAAGAACCATTCGAAACCACTGCCTGGCTCTGCCCGTGCCAGCTGCCCTGCACAGAGGTGGGCAGGGTTAGCAGTACCAGAGCTGCTCATCAATGCTCCGTGGCTGTCACCTACAACAAGGTCACAATTCTGCTGCTCAGTGCTGAAATGCCAGCACCACCAGGCAGGGCTGGACACCTGTGAGCGTGGAGCACAGTATCATCCAGCTTGGGTACCTAGGCCAGGAGGGACATTTCCTTTCCTACCTACAGTGTGACTCACAGCGGGTTTCAGTGGCAAAACCGCATCAAGAAATCTGCACCCTTTCCATTCCTTTTCTGAAGGGCGATTTCTGATGTGAATTTGCACAGACTTTCACAATGCTGATTTGGGTGCAAGAGAGGAAGACAAATGCAAGACAAGGTGGGAACATCTGAAACAATTTTCCACACAAAAGCTTTTGTATCATTCAGCTCCCAGCAGTATGTTGACAGACCGAATAGAGTGGAAGATCCCTTGCCCAACTTGGTTACACTGCAGAAACCACAAACCTCCTCCGAAGCACTGACAAGACAGGTCTAACTCCAGCTCCATAGGAAAGACTTCTACAGCCAGCAGCAGTAATAGGACGTTACCTCTTAAACCATTCCCTCCTAAGCAGGGTTTCACAAAGCGGGACTGAGAGAGCACTGGCCTCCAGCCACTGAAAACGTCGCTGAACAACTCGAAGAATGTTGACTGTCCAAACTTGTTACCATTCTTGATCTAGCAGCCAGCCTGGGGACAGGCTTCAAGGAGAGTGTCACATTTGAACCGAGAACTCTAGGTCAAGTTTTTCCTTAATTCAGTGACCATCGGCATTTCAGATTTGGCTGATGATGTTTCTCAAGAGCAGCCAGCACAATGGCAGCATCTCAGGTGCTTCTGACAGGCATCTTCTGCCAGACCCATGAAGACAACCACACTAGAAGAAACCAAGGCATCTCTCTGACAGGGCAGAACATGCCAGAAGGAGATGGTAATACAAAGCTTTTCTGCATCAGAAGTGAATTTGGTAAGCAAGGAACCCTGCTGACCCTGCCCTGACAGCAGCAGAGGACTTGGCAGCTCAATTTTGGACCACAGCAAAGCAGAAACTGAGGAAAGCTCAACTGGACAGCTGCTAGCAGTCAGTGAAGAACAGCACATCACACCGGAGACTACAAGACATAAGGAAGAAAGGACAACTAGGCTGGAGGATGCCAGAGGTGACACAGTCCCAGCACCTATAGGCCTTACAACCTATACACATCCCTAACTGTTGCCAGCATGCAACAGCCCTCCGAGAACGCCGGGCCAGTGTTGCTTACTGCAGAAAGTTCAGTGATTAGGATGTATTTTGTAGTAAAAGGTGTACGAACCTGGATGCCAGAAGATGAAAAACGCTTATTAATGCATCTCCAATCCTACAAAAAGAGTCAGACTTCCCACTGAAACAAACTGCTGGCGTTCCCTAAAAAGGTGGTAGAGTTTCAGTGCCCAGGGAGGGTCCAGAGAGCAGAGATCTTCGAGGCTTACCAGGCATCACGAGATCCTCATTAAATTCTGGAAGGCCATGATGAAGATGAGGATTACAATGCACACTTTTCTCTTCCTGACAAGGTAGCTGCACTATACTATTTATGACAAAACTTCACCTCAGAAACTGTTCTGAACTATACCGAAATTCTGCTGCTTTACTAGAAGGTCTCACTCCGTCCTTTGCATTTAAAGCATGGTGTGGGAGAGATCAGAATGACAGGTCTTTTATGCATGAACTACAGAGCAAGCAATTGAGTGAAGTTTTATTTACTGAGTTGTCAAGTCAAGTACAATGAATAGAGTAAGCCTGTATCTAGCTCCTTTTGTGGCTCTCAGAGCTTCCCAGCTCTGCAGAAAGACACAATTCTCTCTGTGCAGCTGAGAAAGCAAGGGAAGGAAAAATGACTTATCAAAGGTGACAGCAAATGAAGAAAATGCTGGAGATGAAGCGCAGCAGAAAGAGCACAGGTCAGAGATGACCTGGATGGCAGGCACCCCAGGAGTGCTTGGAAAGGGCTGTACACAAGTCAATGCTGAGCACCAGAAAGACCTGCACTCACAGCACCAGCGCAAGAGTGTCCTCCAGGAGAGCAAGAAATGCTGCTCCTAAAAGCAAGAGGTCAAATGACACTGGTGGGAACCTCTCCTTGTCCACAACACAACTATAAAGGTTCAGTCTAATGAGAAACCTTTCCATGTCCCCTTTTCAGCCTTTTCCCTTCAAGCAGGTATTTGGAAAAACTCTCATACCTCTCATTAGGCTGGCAATGAAAATCACTTTAGTGTCTTCTCATCTGAACTATTCCCCACATGAAGCAGAAACACCCTCCGGGTTGAAAGCAAGCAACAGGCCCCTAATGAGAGAAGTCACAGAGAAGCCTTAGCAGAGGTAAGGTCAGTGTTCTTACCAAATATTTAATGGAAAAAATCAGATTATAAGCAACAGTTGCAGGAACTGCTAAGAACAAGACATATCCCCTTCGAAGACACTGATTAAAATGCTCTCAAAGCAGCAGAGAATTCGCACATTTTGGTATCTCCACGGATCATTTCTGCGGCTCGACACAAAGAACACACCTGTTTAGGCATCAGGAATCCATGTGCTGCTGGCACACAGTGCTCACACAGTCCCTCAGAAGAGAAATACCCCACATACACAGTCTTTCTGAGCTGAAAAGTCTGACTAAAACATCAAGGAGATTCCCAAAGTGAACCAGCAACCTTTACAGCTCACTGCTCGTCTCCCACCAAGCAGAGCTTACACCCCATACCAACTGCTACCTTTCCCATCCCAAACTGTTCTTATTCCCTCCTCCCAAGCCCAAGAGAGAAGTGGCAGAGGAGAGGCCAGCAGGAGCACATCACAGCGAGTTTGAGAGAACCAGAGACAACCCAAAACTATTGCCCATCTCATCCCTTCACCATCAGCTGGGAAGCAGTCATGCCTGCCTGGAGGAATTCAGCCCATGGCTCGAGCAGGCTCCTCTGTGTTGCCACCCAGACTTGCGCCTAAGGACCTGTGGGGCATAAGCACCTCCCAAACCACTGGCTGCAGGCTGCTGTTTGGGAGCTTCTGGCTAAGCTGAGTTGAGCTTCTCTTGCTACGCGCTCACTGGAGATGCTACAAGAACATGTGGGGATGTTTCCCCTTCTCGCTCATCCCTAGATTGCAGCCTGAAGACAAACTAGAGTTATGGAAGAGCCACACGGGAGTCTCGGAGGGCAATCAGGAACCATCTCTTCCATCACTCCAGGCAGTGATTCAGCGCTGATGCCCCATGGGCTCCACATGCTCCTATAGACAAGGAACCAGCCATGTTCTGTTGATGCTCAAAGGGGCTAGGAGCTGATGTGGAACAAGCACAGCAGCCTCCTGCTCTTCCATCTGCACATTCCCCTTTCATTTGGGCAGGAATCTGACAGGCCAGCTGCTGGGGAAAGGGAAAGTTGAACAAATGTCCAAAATAAAACTGGTGAAAAACAGCCACAGTCCTGGGTCTCAAGTCAGGCAAGATCCAGTCTAAAGAGAGACACCCACATAGAGTTTGAGGTTAACTGAATGCTAAGTCACTGTATTAGAGTGCCTGACACATGTTGTAGTCTCCTCCTCCCCCTCTTTCTCATAGGATTGGGTTTCTACTTCGGAGCAGGAAGAAACACGCAGCTTATCATGCAAGGGAAAACCTGCCGTCCACATCCCATTGCAAGGCGTGCAAGGCCTAGCTTCAACTGCCGAGCTTCCTGTAGAAGAGCTGAGCTCGTGACTCTAATCAAGGCTTCAAAGTTGGCCAGTTATACAACTGTTCCAGACGGAGGCAGAAGGGCCAGAACTCTGATTAAAGACAGAGGGTTTGTCTGTTTGATGAAATATATAGAATTTAGCTTTCCAGCACGTGAATTTTGCACACTGCAGGATCCCCATGGGGACTGCTGTCTGTATGGATCAAAGTCGGCTTTCACTATAGAGACGACTTGTGCCTAGCAGAAAACAGCACTTGCCTCTGATTTCCTCACACAGAAGAGCTCTCTCTGCACAAAGAATTCAAATTAATCGGAGCCCACAGCCAAAAGCAGCAAGAACATCTTTCAAAGGCCCTGAACAGACACAGTCTATTAAATAACCAAAGGAATATCCAAGTGCCCCTGTCTTTGCTATGCAAGTTTTAGTGAAAACAGCCATACACAGAGCTACATGTTTCATTTGGATTTCATTTGGTGAATGAACTATTCACATTTCCATATGCAGACAGAATATATAATCTATTTCAGTGCCATGCCCACTGCCAGCTTAAATGACTGCAATAGGAAGCCTGCAATGAGCGTAGTGGGCATTGCAAAACAAACAAGGAAATGAGATTTAATAAAACACTCCAGTACCCCCATATGTGCATCAGCAACACAAACAATACAGCCCTGCAAAAGACAAGGGCCAGCAGGGCAAAACTGACCTATTTTCACTATGTTTTCACTTTAAAATGAGAAGAAACAGTTTGGCATCATCAGTAGCAGGAGGAAGAGTCCCTCGTTTCTCTGATAAGCACATGAAAAGGAAGATCTTTTCATAAAAACGGACAGTGAAACTCTTCTCCCGTGTCACGTTTAGCATTAGCTCCTGCTCTGCTTGGATTGCTTGCACCTCCAGAGGGCTTGGCTGCGTTTTAAGCACTTCCAGCTACAGGACTGGTTTACACTTTTTCCCCTGAGGAAACAACTGCCGCTGTCATGTTAGAACTAAGAAATCCTTCCTGCTATTCAGAAGGATACAGCTGGAGAATTCCTGGGGGCTCTCCCAGATACGAGTGTGGATCACAGCTTTGACCAGAGAAGGAAAGGACACATTCATAAACACACACAAAGACAGCATACAAGCATTTCCCTCTCTGGAACCTCCCTCTCTGGAGATCTTCAAAATCCACTTGGACGCAATCCTGTGCCACTTGCTCTAGGTGATCCTGCGTGTGCAGCGGGTTGGACTAGATGATCTCTGGAGGTCCCTTCCAACCTTAAGCATTCTATGATCCTATGATCCTTGTAGCCTCTTCCAAAAATACGTAAGAGCATACCTGTCTCTCAAAGCAGAGAAGTCTAAGGGTACCAGCACATGAACCCGCCCGGCAGAGGAGGGCAGGCCACGCAGTGCAGGCCCTTCAGTGCCTCTGTGGGAACTGCCCCCTCTCCGCCTCACGGCCCAGCGCCTCAGCGCCTGCTCCCCAGCCCACCTTGGCCAAGTCTACGTTACCAGCGCGGACCAAGGCAGCAACACCCTCGCCCCCCTTCCATTCGAGATGGCCCAAAGCCTCCTCGCTGTGTCTGCTGATCTCCTGTGCCGCAGGCAGGAGCTGCGGAGGGGAAGAGCCGCACCATGACCAGCGGCAGCTCTTTTGCTTTCTCCACCCCTCGCTGGCCGGCTACGGTCCAGCCGCGGTGGCGATGCAGCTAATGGCGAAGCTCCGAGCTCAAGGCAAGAGGCAGACAGCGGTTGGGTGCTCTGTTTTCCCAAGATCTCCTTTAGGAAACAGTGTAGCTCCCAGTGCAATTGCCTGGGACAGTGCTGAACGCTCCTGTGCGACAGGCTGGTAAAGGCAACGCAGGCCTTTATTGATAAAGTCCACCAGCTTTTAAACAGAGCCCAGGCAAGTCTGTGAAGCTCCCCTCTTGCAGAGGGAAACACTTCCCCTGGTCACCGTCAACCCTAAAAACAGGCACACAACATGCAAGCCCACGGGACTGTTGCGATTCTCAGATGAACAGAGACTCCAATGCCACCAGAGAGCCCCTGTTCCTCCTCCCACTCCAAACTGTGTGAAGGCAACGATATTCCAAGGCAGGAGTTTCACATAAGCAGGAGCGCTGATGTTATCAGGATCGTAAGGCAGGTCTTTCAGCAGAGAAGCAAGACTAACTTGTTTAGCATTTTTAAGGAGCCATGCTGCAGGCTGGGTATTAGGAGGAAATTTCTGCCTTTGACAATGATCCAGAAAGTTTCTCCTGTTATAAGAATTAGCATCTACTTAAAAGAGTGCAAAAAAAAAGGAGGGGGGGGGAGGGGGGAGGAATGTTTTAAAGAAAATTTTCTTCCCAATCAAGTACTGGATTTCACATTTGAAAAAGCTTTGAATTTTTAATTTACATACCAAGCAGCTGTTGCACATGTATGCTCCTTGAATGTAGATGTTAGCTGCTGGAAAAAAAATAATTGAGAAACGAAAAACTACCAGCTCAGGGAGGTGGATGATACATTCCAATTAGTGCACTAAAAATGCAGCCCTCTCCATTTAGAGCTTGAAGAATGAAGCCCAGATTTTTTTTTTCACCAGAACTTGAAAAGAATAAATCAAAGTAATTATAGCAGTGCCCTTTCAGAATTGCTTTGCAAAGCTGAAATCAGAGCTTCAAAAGGTTTTTTTACTAGCAGCCAGCAAATCCAGAGAAGCCTACTTCAGGCAGCTGCACTAGCCCCAAGATGCGCTTCGAGAGCCACTTCCACATAGAAAAATAGCCTGGGTTGAGCTAAAGCAGCTTATAAAGTCTATATTTGTATCTCACTCCTCCCAGGCCTTATTACCTACCACATCTGCATGAAATCAGGATCATGCCTTCCAAAAAGTTCACGGGCTACCAGTGCAGACCCCTGCACCCCATACTGATATAATATTTATTGCCCAATAACTTAAGAGCAGAGATAGACAGACCATCATTCCTGTATTATGAGGAAATTAAAGTAGGATGCACAAAGTAAAAGGCCAAGTGACAGAAGCAAGAGCAGGACCAAGCGTGTTAACTTTGCTGCCACCGTAACAGAGCAGCACAGCATCGTCCAGTATATTTAGTTAGCAACGTAAATGATTGCTGGCTACAGATCCTGGTTTCATGCTGAGGTCGTCAGGGTTCATGATTCTTCTCAGCCTACTGAGCAGAGATCCATTTCACTGAACCATGGACAGGGTGGATAAAAGACTGTGTATTTTTAAAATATTTTTCTTTGAAGTTGAAAGTTATGTTAACCTTTAGTAACTCAATCAAAGAACTGTTCAAGTTAAACTTAAAGCAATCAGGTAGTTCATGTTTGCTGCATAGGCATTAAAGAACAGGTAACGGAACTGGTGACAGCTGCTGGCTCAGCGCATGGCACCAAATTTCAGTAACCTATACTTTTAAGTGAAGCAGAAGCTGCCTTTTCCTTCTCCAAGCAACAAATGCTGTTCTGAGAGGAGAGTGCTACTAGTTACAGAAGACTGAAAACACACTGTGTGCAGTAACAATTAGTTCTATTCACTAGTTAGGGTGTTTCTAACAATCATTGTTAAAGGCAAAACTTGTCCTAATAGTCTCTTAAAAGTCCAATGCAGTGTAATTTAACCAATATGGTTAAACTGCTGGTCTTGGGTTTTTTAAGTTGTATTTCAATCCCAACACATTTTGATTTAAGATAGAGATTTTAAAAATAAAGAGTTTTTTTTCATTAAAATATCATCAAATGCACAACTATGAGTCTGAATAAATACATTTTAAACTAAAGTTATGTTCTTTGCAAGAAGTAGTACAAAGTTTGCTATGAAGTCATACCAAGTTGTAAATTGAGACGTTTAGTTGTTACCAACAAGGGACAAACATTCTCCTTCAAGATAAGCTAAAAAGAAAACATGCAAAACAAGATTAAGTCAGGGATTTAGAGCAAGACTTGCTGATTTAAGCCAGAGCAACTGGCAATGTAAATACATCCACCCTGGCCATAGAGACTCTCAGTTCTCCTTGTTATTCATAGATAGTTTCCTTTTCAGGTCAAAAACAGGGAATGGTCTGCATGGCAGCACAAGGGAAACAGCTACCTGTCCGTGTTGTACCTGTATTAGGAAAAGAGGACTTCAATCTCCAAGGCTGCCATTCCAGCAACTTCACTAGCACTAAATTCACAGGAAACCTAAAGACCCAGGAGACAGAACACGGAAACTTTATCAGGATTTCTACGGTATCCTTGTCCATACAGCTGTTTGTCAAGAGGTATTTTTCAACTGTTTTCTTTCCCCAGGGTAAAGACAGCCACAGACTTCAACAAAGGAAGAAATCAGCCTAAACTAGAACCCTCGATCAGGATGTTTGGCGGAATGCATGTGTGCATAGGAGCATTGAGTTTTATTTCTAAAAATAAGCCATTCATTGATCGTTAGTGGAATGTTTCTACTTTACCTAAAATTCATATGATTTGCTATATGTATTTCTCCCTGATGAAACCTCTACAAATCACTTAAAGCATAAGGTTAACCCTCAAATCAAGAGCAGCACTGCAGAGGCACTCAGGGCACTTGCACAGAGCTGCTGATCAGCCAAAATCCTGTAGTAAGGGACTCCAAGAGCTTCTGCAGCCTGAAGGTTCATTTACCCACAGAAGAAAAAGAATTCTTTATCTGCGTGGTCACTGGAAGCTGCAATTACATAGCAGCAGCTCACACGTGTACCTAATTCCCACAGGGAACAACAAGCTTCAGGAACCCTAACTCTTAATACAGACAGAAAACCTTTTGTAGTCTTAAGTGATATTATGCTGATTAGCATAATTGAAATGAGCTGATTTAGACAGAACTGTATGATAGCTTTTGAAATCTGTCTGGAGGCACTACTAGCATAGATGAGGACAATCTGATCCCCTGGGTCACATTTTGACCATTCTTTCCCCAGCTAATCAAAGGTTAATGCATACCTGGCAGCAAACAAACAGACAGTAAATCCCCCTGACAGCCTGTTTCGAGATGGTCATTTACCCTGGAAGGGGCTTTGGGTTGGCCTCAATTCCACACAGAGCCACTATGTAAATCTCAAACTGGGCCTTCACTTTACTTGCCCATGCTCCCAACACAGGGAACATACAGCAATCCAGTGAAGTACGTGTTCTGGAAAAAAAAAAAGGTGATACTGGGGAGAGGGGAGTGCTTTTAACTTCATAAAACACCTCGCTGGCAAAGCATACCGCTTTGAGTTTCTTTCTTTTGTTGCACATAGAATAGCTTCCCTAGCACAGAAAAATAAACCAAAAAGGGAGTAAAAGGGGAAGGTGGCTATATGGGGGAAGGAAGTGAAAGTAATAGTCAAAGCTATCAGAAGATATAAAACAAAAAAGATTTCCCCCTCACAGCACTGCCTCCAGGGGTGATTAATGAGTGGGAGATGCCCATCACCTGAGAATGCCTGTGCCCCTCCAGGTGCCCGCAAGCCCGGGACTTACACTGCCATGCCACCAACAAACTCCTCCGTGGCTTGGCAGTAGATTGTGATGGCAACACGGGCATCTGCATCAAATGTGAACTCCAGGCTGTACAGGACCTTCTGCTTCCCGTTCTCCTCAGTAGGGCTGTCAACATCATCTTTATACCTGAAAAACAACGCCACAGAATTAGAGCACATATTTATGGAGATATGTATTAGTCATCAAGTTCACTCTGAAAGGTGGGACAAGAGTACTCCCTTCAGTCTAAGTGTTTATGGAAAGCAAGATATCATGGGCTTCCGCAATGCCCAGATTTACATTCTTCCCCCTGAGAAAGATTCTTCCAAAATCTATCTGAAATTATGAGTGAATTAGGCAGCAATGCTGTTGAGGTCTCACCAATCTTGCAGTGTAGGGGCATAGAAACAGCCAAGAAGTTGAACCCCCAGATGTCGACCCTTTAGGAGAGAAAACATTCTCCTTCCCTTTAAGTGTTTTTGCTCAGTATGTAGATTAAAATAATCCTTCATGGGCCTGAAAACAGCAAAGCCTGACTATATCTAACTGTACACACAAAGTAATGAGGAGTTTCAGGTGTATGACAGGCAAAAAGTAAGGTGCCTGTAATCCAAATGACTTCTAAAGCCCAGCAAAAGGTACCTCCAATATTATATGGAAGATGATATTCAGATCAGAAAGCACTCAAATATAGGAATTTCAAATAACTTCAGGCATACAAAAACCATCAACCAAACCCTTGATGCTGGTAATGACTGAAGTTTGCACACATATATAATATGAATAAGCACTAATGCATTCAGCTGTGTAATAGAGGCATGATAATCAGAAGAATGAACCTGGAAGTTCTTTTTCAACAAACCTAAAGAGGAATCATAACTTCAATTTGGGCTATTGGACAGGGGGATCCCGCTGCATGATAGCTCATCATCACTGCACAGTATTACATTTTCTCCCTATTTCCTGCAAAAAGGTAGGCAACAAATCCAGTGAGAGAAGTGGAATGAGACGGGTTCCAGTGCAGTGAGTTACAAAGTGCCAAGAGTGACTAAGGGGACAGAGCATCAACAAAGCAGCCAACACAGCACAGCGTGAGAACAGCTCCCTGCCTTGAAGTGCTCAGGGATGGTGAGAAAGGACACGGTGCAATGGCAAAGAGAAGCAGATTTCCCCATGTAAACTCAAATTCCTTCTCAAATCCTGTAGCTATGGGTACTGCTGCTCCCGTGCTGCACAGGACGGGTGAGGGTGCCAGGTTGCCTTTCAGCAGTGTATGATGACAGGGGATTTGCTGCCCAGGCCCAGTCTAACGTCCTACAGTGTCACCTCGAATGCTCGGAGGGCTGGGTCAGAGAGCCTCTGTTCAGAGAGTCTCTGTTCAAGAGAAAGCCTGGCACCATCTCCCTCTTCACAGTATCAGTAGGCCTCTCCATTAAAAAGCCTCAAGGAACACGCTGCACTATTGAAATACTCAGAAATGAGCTAGACATACCTCTATAATTCAAACCAAAAGTTGTCAGAGGAAGGCATATTTACCAAGTTTACCAAGATGCAAAACCTGCTGCCTAGCTGAGAGGGCTATGGCATGAATTCTGCTTAACAGTGCACCGAATGAGAATGAAATGCTTGACTCCAGGGATTCAATATAGAAGGCACAAAATAAAGCTTAAGAGCAGTTAATGAAACACTTAGCACACACACTTGTGCTAACGTAACCCCAGCAAATCGTTATCACTACAGCATACGCTCACATTCCTGTCCGGAGGACATTCCGAGACTTCCAAACAAGACTTTTGCCAGAAGCTCACCTGGGTCAGATCAAAGAGTGTAAATCAAGCCCAAACACACCCAACTCACTAGGACAAAAGAACAAACTCACAAGCTGACTGTCTAAACAGCTGCAGCCGCCTGTATGCAATAGCCAGAATAGAGCAAGATGGTATTTTCACGCATAGAGCAGTGGCACTTGAAAGAATAAAATCATGGCACTTACACTCTAGCCAGCTGGGTGGGTTTTCCTGAAGAACATGAGTACAACATTTCAGGAAGGACTGACCCAAGGGACAGGCAATTGTCTAGTCATGTGTTGCTCGTGCCCAGAGGAAGCAGCAACAGGAGCTTCTGCAAATTGTCTCTTGCCACTCTGCCCTACGCTGATGGGAGGCAGGCAGCGAAGGACACGATCTTGGCTCTTTGTCTTTCAGGAAAATCACACAGAACATACAGGTTCCCAGACCACCCTCCAGATCCCAACCTCACCTCCGGATCTCCCTGCCAGCATACAGAACTTGCCCCCATCCTTTCAAGGGAAAAAACAGTTAAACCCAGGCCAGAATACATCTGGTAACCACTGGATGGTCACAAATTTGCATGCCTGGAGAGAGGTTTTCTGGTACAGGGAAGGACAGCCAGAGCCTTGCGTGCCTGGAGCAGCGACGCTGGAACGAGGGGCAAAGTACGTGCCCAAACGCTGCCAAGCACAACAAGGCTGTGTACTCACCTCCCTATCGTAACAGGCCTGCTGCTGGGGGCAAATTAAAACACATGCCATAAGACAAGTTCTGGTAACAACAGATTGCATAGGTGGCCATGCCCGTTGGTTGCAGGACCCAGGGATAAGCAAGGACTACTTTGCTGCACACTAAGAGGCACGGAAACATCTCATATTCCACGAGATGGTGGGATTTAACTTCAGGGGAGCAGCAAGACAAAGCCTGGCACTTGGCATTCCTTCCATCAGTGCAGCGGACGTGGCAGACAAGGAGGTGGTTCACGGGTAGACAAGAGCTCTTCTGTGTCCAGCTGTACTCCAAGTTCACAGTGCACATTCATGAAGCCTTACAGTGCTAAGAAGTGGCCACGGATGCATGCACAGATTTAGCACTGGGTGACTGTGCCAGATGTGTCTTTTGGTCATGCACACGGGTTAATCACATAGCTGTCACTATCACAGACACGGAGGAAAAGAGACTGACCACCTTTGAGAACAAACAGCGGATCCAAAGTTATGACAAGAATGGCAAAGCAGGGTGACTAAGGGAGTTGAGGCCACTTGGTCTGACATCAATTCTGGGTAAAACAATGGAAGGACTGGAACTTTGTGTGTGTCTGTTAAAGAATTAAAAGATAAAAATTATAATTAACAGCAGCCATGACAATTTTACAGAAATACGTCTAGTTGAACCTGATTTTGCCCACTGAAGACACTAAAAAGTCTGAAAAACAGCTTAGTAGACATGCAGGATAAATTTTAAGTATCACTCAAATTAGTGGAAAAATGCATTACAATAGCGCTAAGGCAGACAATAAATGAAGTAAGAATTGGCCAACATTTACATCATTTTTCGCTTTTGGGGAAATCCTCATCAAGTGAGGACTTTCCTCACTGGAGGCTCTGCAAAGATCCACATCCAGTTTAACACTACTCAGTGCTCCAGAGCAGGTGGTCCTAGCACCCTCTCCATCCCCAGCATCAGTGCCTCCAAGCTGGGGTGAACCGTTCCGAGGACCAAGGGCAGCCCTGCTGCATGAAGAACATGGTCTGGTGAGGAACAAGAAAGGACAGCTCTTCTCTCACTCACAGCTGCCTCTCCTCGGTCCCCCATCATCTTCTCCCCTCTTGGACCTTTCTCCAAGGTGCTCAATGGTCTCAGCACTCTTGGTGATACTTTGGACACATTTCCAAGCCACTGCAGTTGCTGACTTCTCCAGCACTTTTGTTCCACATTGCTCTATGTCCAAAACCCATGCTGAGACAGACACTCTGACCACAGCAAAACTCCTCCATGAAACACATCACCTCGTGAGTCAACCTTCCAGCAACTGAAAGTGCCTTCAAGGTAGGAGTTAGCAGCTGTATCAGCTCCACTTGGTACTTCAGCTTTGAAAAAAGGCTTCTAATCCAGGACCGAAGAGGGGCACATGGATGAGATAAAGCCATCTTTTTCTGCTAACACTAACAGCAAAGGTCATGCTACCCTCTGATATTAACAAAAAGTCTTATCCTGGCATGAAATCAAGCTCTCACACAAAGCATCAAAGACTCAGAACTTTAACATCAACATCCACAGGTTTATTGCTTCTCTTCAAAGCTGTTGTAAAAAATCAGTATTTGGGAAAGCTCAGAAATGTGTCTGGCCAGAGCAGGGCAAAGAAGCCAGAATGGAAATCTCCTCGCATTCCTCCATAAACTTCTACATTCCCCATTATGGATCAACAGATAAACATTGAATTTGCAGGTAAACAATCACAGGAATAACAAAGGCTATGGGGACATTACTTTGAAAACCTACCTTACACCTAGGCACTCAGCTAAGTGCCATTTTATCTGGGGAAGGAGGTGGTAAAATAGAACTTAATTAGTCCTAGAAAGAGTCTGCAAGCCTCAACCATTGACTGCCATGAAGCCAAGCTGGAGAGGATACAAGTTTTATTTTACACGTGAAAAGGGAAAAGGTAAAGGCCTCTACTCCAGAAAGGCAGGAAAGCACGAGACCCAATGTGCCCTTGGAGACTGTCAATTCAATCTCCATTATGAGTCTGTGTGAGTATAAAATGAAACACAGCAGCATCAGAAGTGGTGTCATCAGCACTAACACAGAAGAAGCAACACACAAAGCTGGGTCATGAAGCCGAAAAAGGGCTGATAACACTGGAATTTACTGGAATGCAAACGCAGACACCATCAAGGTGCAGGGACACTACGTTACTGTTGTCCAGGTTTACAGCTCTGCTCAGAGGACAGGATATGAAATCCCAGAAAGCAGAACAGAAACGTACGCACTAAAACCTGCTCACTGCTGAGTTCACAACAAGCCCTTTCCTACTGAAAAAGCCACTTCCCATCCGCCCTGCGAGAACACTGTTTATGTGGATTTTTGAAAGCAGACGGAAATACCCTTTTCACCACAAGTCTGGGAAGAAAACAAGATTTTTTTTTTCCTAGAGAAGCAATACATCCTTCAGCTGAAAAAAGCCAGACAGCATTCAGAACAGTTTACCAAAGGTTATTTCTAAAGAAGCTCTTCCCTCTTTTCCTCTTCAGACGGTTTTAAAGTCACAGGTATTGCTCATAAAAGCAATAATAATAACTTTTCAGCTAAAAACAAACAGAGTTTCAAGTGTTTATGACTCAAACTACTCACATTATGCCATGCTCCCAGCACCACTTGGCCAAGAGGCGAAGCTGGCCCCCTGCCAGTACTCCAACCCTGCACACAGACTCGGAGAGAGACGCAAGGCTCTTGGAGAAACGCTCTGCCTGGACATCTGCCCAGCTGCTCAGACCAAAACAAAGCACTTTGTGCTATGCTGGGCCCCTGTGCTTCAGGCGGCTCTTTGGAAGACAGCAGCCACAGGCTCAAGCACTCACTGTTGCATTTAACCCATGACTTACTTATTTCCTATGCTGTTTTTCTTTTTTCCTATGCGTTTTTTTTAGAATTTGGTGTAAAACACGGAAAGGTCTCCAAGGGTCTCCAGACCTCCTTCCTCCACGTGAGACACAGGCCATCTAAATGCATGCACAACAGTGAGGATCACACTGCATTCTGGCAGCAGGAGAAACCCAATGCAGTTTCACTCAAGGCCAGTCTTCCTGGCCTGGGATTTGCACCAAAATCAACTAGTTTCTGGCTTTTTCCTTGCACAAGAACGCATAGAGAAATTTGTCTGTAGGGTTTATTGAACTAATACCTTCCACTCATGCTAATGATTCTATACAAGATGTGAGACCACAGTTTCGTTTACTTCTCTAATGTGTTTAGAAATGCAGATTGCCCAGAACTAGGGAAAAGGAGCACACTTGCAAGCTCCAATCATATGGAAACATAACCTTCTAAGCATATCTAGGAACAAGGATCTGGGCCTCGGGTATTTCTCTAACACCTTACCGTATTCACGATTTGGCTCTGGATGCCAGATCCCTGGGTTGGAAGGATGGGGAAAAGAAAAAGAAACTAAAGAGAGTGTTCAGGGCATAACGGTACCTCACAAGGCGGAGAGAGTCTTTGCGGATATTCACTAAACTCCTCAGTGTCTTCACAGGTTCATGGGGAGCTGGAGTTACATAAGGAAACTGGAACAAAAAGGCAAATAATTGTCTTATTATTACCCTAAAACAGGTAGCAGCATGTTACCTTATGCACAATATACCCAAATCAAGAAATATTCACCTACCTTTAAATGTGCTCATTTCAAGAGCAACCACAAACAACAATAATACAGAATTCTGTTAATGATAAATTGAGTGGGTTTCGAGTGCAAATCCTGCTCTGGCCCAGCAGCAGTTCATATTGGGAGCATATTCTTTAAGAAGGGGCACATGCTCTTTCACTGCACCCTGAATTTTCAGCCTAGAAAGTCTTGCTCTCTCAAGTTTTTACTTCCACTAACGAAACCACTTCCAGCTTGAACAGAAGATGCAGCTCTTTCATGTGTGTTACAACATGGAATAGTGACCCGACTGCTAACCAGCATGTGGAAGCTCTGGGTTCCCGGAGGAAACCGCTTCTATGCCAAAACAATGGGATAAATGTTCTAGAAAAAATATATCTTATTTAAAAAAAAAAGAAAAAGAAAAAGAAATCCAACATGGAGATAGGGATAAGGAGCTCACTTAAGACTATCTGGAACCCTCGTACAGGTCACAGACCCTCCACAGGGAAATGCAAAGAAAATTGCTTACTTTGGCAACTGCAACCTTTACAACTCCAGAGCTGCCTGCTGGATCTCTCATCTGCTCAGGAAAATCCCAAGCTGACACGTCCATTCACACAACTCCCAAGTTTGGTAGGTGCTCAGGCCACAAACACAGCCGTGCTCCAAGTCTCAGTAGCAGCAGGAGACAAAGATGTGGAGCTGCAGGACGGGCTTTCAGGAAGAAGGTTACTGAGTGTAACCAGCACCAGTGCCACCTCGCAGCCTGATCAGAGCTGGGCTCAAACCCACTCGGAGCTCATATTAGTTCTGCACAAGCGTGACTAACATGGAGCAGAAGTATCAGGGACAACCAACGTACATCAAACCTCTTCATAATAGGAAAACCTACTAACCAGGTAGCCAAATGCTGCTGCAGCTCAACTGCAGGGTAGTCCTGAGTCACAACCCTGTGCCGTTGCCCCCTCAGGTAACAGAAATGTATGCTGGAGCAAGATGCAGAGGCTGAAAGAAAACTTGCTGCTTCCTGACTGAGAAGCCACAGCAGAGCCCATGGCACAGCCATAGGACAGGTCTCCAAAGGCAGTGGAGAATTCACAGGGCAGCATCAAATACTTTCTTTGCAGTTTGACTGCTCCACACCATGGCTCTCTGCACTGCTGTACACACAGCAATTAGGAGCTCAGTTACTCCAAAGTGAAGACATGGCCCATGTCCAGAGAACAGTTTTGCTGCCTCGTGTTCAAGCATCTTTTCTTGAAGATTAATCAGGGCAGCCAAAGGGCATTAACTTTACATAGGAAGGCTATGTACCACAAGAGCCTCCTGCTCTTAAACCTATTTGGCACATCTCCCACTGTGTTAATAGCATTCTCACCCACTCCCCTCCGAAGAAACGATGAAACTCAGTGCCAGGATATCTGCAAGGAAACCCAAGCTGGGACATGCAAGCAATTTAACTTTGAGATTGCCAGGCAAGTCCTACAGCCACAGGCCCTCAGGACAGTTAGGTAACACCTGCACATTCTGCTTTCGCTGGCAAGTTGTGCAGGCGGCAGCCTTGTTCAGGGTGAAGGAAAAGAGGCCAACTTAAAGTTGCTGTCCTGCACAGGCCCTTATGCAGTCACAGCAAAAGGTGTTCTGCAAGCATCCCCAGAGCTGCATGGAACCAGAATGCGCAGAACAATTTCCACGACCCTCTTTCTGTTGCTCATCTGCCCTTTCTGCTTGAACAGGAGCTCTCTGGATTCTCACTTATCCTCCCCTGCACAGTTCTGTTAGATAACTGTGGTGCTGCAAAGAGCAATGGCACAGTCTGAGAATAACTCACAGAAAAAGAACATGTTTAAGCAGCCTGCTTGACAACAGTCCAAACTCAAACATGAAGTCATTCTGTCTTGGTTTCCTCTACCTGTAAAACAGTGATAATACTAACTGCCTCTGAATGCTACTGGCATGAATTAATTAACATTCACAGCCTTTTTGAAGATGAGAACCATTACATCATCTTTTCCTTTTCATGTAGTCGAAACTGCTAGGAAAATAGCTGCCAAAGCAAGCTCCTCTCTCCCCTTTCCTCTCCAGCACCCTGAAAGCATCTCTGAATAGCTCCTACTGTAACCTTTTGGTCTTTCTAAGCAGTTCTGAGATGCAGGAGAAACCCAAAAGAACACTTGCATAAAACCCCAAACTCTGCCTCTCATATCAGTGTTTCCCCCTAGGAAAAGAACAATCCAATTTGTGGAGCAGGCAGCTTTTTACCACTTGATGAGATATCTGCCGATGTGTCCAGGAGCCCTGGGAAGTGCAGGAGGCTGGAAGTTGCCTTGCTGCCAGACCCCAATCTCTGCAGTATATGTGAAGTCCACTTAGCCAGGCAGGTCTCATGCATTGGAAGCCCACCAGAATTAGCCCCAGTGCTCCTAAGTCCCTGCCCTTCTTCCTCCACCTTCTTTTCCTTCTGCCCTAAGTGAAAATAAACCTAGAAAGGGAAAACACTGCTTCTCAGAAAACTCTGCTTTCACCTAAGTAGCTAGTGTGGCCAGCAAGCTATGAGAGGGGATGAGGGAAGAATCCTGCACCTCACACTGGGTTGACATTCCCCAAGAAGTAAGGGTTCCTTAGCTCTGTCCCTTGCCCAGTACAAGCTTCACAGCAAGATTTTGCAACAGACAGAAAAAAAAAGGTGTAAAATTATCAGAATAGAGGAACTTGCCTGAACAGGTCTATTCCCAAGGAAGTTTAGATCCATATTCTCCCCAAAGAGGTAGCCCTCAGGGTGAGGGGTGTCAAACTTCTCGCCTCCCATAAAGAAGTGACTTGCAAAGTAGTTTCCTGGAGAAAAAAAAATAATAATAATTCAATTTTGAATTGACAATCTTGGGTCCTGCACAACCAGAGGAGGTTCCTTTGAGGCAACATTTTTTCTCTTTCTGTCTGACTTCCATATTTCAGGGTCAAAACCACCAGAAAACTTTACAGTGGGCGCCAGAGACAATATGCTCAGATGCTGAATTGTTTAAACATAGATGGCTCCAAATGCAGAAACATAGATGACTAAGAGATAAGCCCTGGGGCTGAGCGAACACAGCTTCAGCTCAGGAAGCTTCACCATGGACTGGTTTCATTCACCTTCACAGTGATGCTCTGGGGGTACAAATTTCAGGGGACTAAGTGTGCTCAAAATCATTGGGATTCTGGAGTGCAGAATTAACTAGATTAACTATAAGGTCAAATCAAATCTGTTCAGTTGTACAAGAGCTCTATGCATGCAGCTTCCTCAGGAAACTGCTCACACATGGATTTTACAGAGTTAGAGAAATAAGAATCAGGACAAAACTAAAAAGCCCCACCTAAGCCATTTCCCTTAGAGCTTCAGAGCGGGGATTTTTCACGGGCACACCAAAATGAGTGAGCCAAACACAAATTCACTTCTCTAGGCGCAACAAACAGACAGCGAAAAGCTTTTTTTTTTTTTAATCAAAAGTTCCTACAGAAGCAGTAAATAACCACCTGAAGGGTTATGGAAACACTGCTTGGGCAGGATTTCAGTCCCTCTAGCTGGGAGCAAGCACGATTTACTCTGAAATGAAAGGTCTTTCATAAATGGTTCTGCTTTTTCCATTTAGGTTTTTTCCCCCTTTACGCTTTAAGAAAGGCTTTTCTTACTCTGCACAGATGGTACTGCATTAATGACAAGTGTTCTCCACTGCTGAGCTCAGTCTACAAGCATCCAGATGTTGTTGTTATAGAAACGCGTCCTCCTTTCCAGATACTACAATCCGCTTCAGCATAGGTCCAGAATCTACCTAGTTTCGGGTCCACAGAATAAGCATAACAAAATTTAGGTGCTCAAGAGGACAAGGAACCTTCTCTTATCCTTCCCTAGAAGAAACAAGATAAAAGCTAACACATATGCAATCTCCTAATAGGGTTAGCTTGATATGAACCGCCCCAGCCGAGAAAGACTGCAGTGATTTATAGTTATACCGAGGTCCAGAAAAGCATAAGGAACACTGAAATTCAGTAATTCATTTCACATTTTAAGTGGGTCAAGCAGGATTGTGTTTTGGAGCATTTTATCTGATTAACTGTGAAGACGACGCTGGTGCAGGATGTCTCAGAATCGCAGCAGCTGCTTATCTGGGATCAGAGACAGCTCCCTCTTCGCTCCAATTTAGTATTCAGTGGATAAGACACCTCGGCACTAGATTCACCTCACTAAATCGGTATTTATGTGCCAATCACACTCATGTCAGCGTGCACAAACCACCCCCCGGTGCTCCAAGGAAGCTGCAATCATCATGTCGCAGCACTCGCAGCTCACTCTGTGCTACGAAATAAGAGCGGAGCTTTTTGGTAGAACAATTCTGCATCCCACTCCCAGCAGACTGCAAAGATACTCATTGCCCACTGAAACACAGCTCTCCGGGAGGACAGTTATTTAAAAGAACACCAGAAAGTAGGTTCGTCATCACCTGTGGATGAACAGGGACACGAGTCCCTCTCACACGACTGGCATGACGCAGAGGTGCACGGCTAGTGCGTCCAAGGCACTGCCACGTTATCCTCTCTCTGTTAAAAACTGCTTTGAGGATCTCTAGTAATTACAAATCGTGAGGATTTCCCGCAAGAACACACTGCAGCACAGCACCATGTACCTAACTGCAGATCAGAGCTCCAGTTCAGCGTTCAGACCCAAGACTCCTATCAGATCATCTCCTTCAGCATGAAGCCTCCTTCACAGGTGTTCGTGAGATCCCACCTTGCTTAGACCGTGACATTTGGGAGAACGCAGGGCCCAACCTCAGAGTGTGGGAGGACGCTGATATTTACACATGCAAGACACTTGGTGATGCAGGTGCTAAAACTAGCTCTGGCTATAGGCAACAGGCTGCTTGCTGGAACCTACCCTGAAGACAAATTCCAGCCAGAACACGAATTTGTGTTTTTCATTTGGCCTAAGAAAACACTGACAGCCAGAGGCAGGCAAACCCTGGGACAGCCACGCTGGTGCCAAACGCCACACTCTTCGCTTTGCCTCGGACCTGCTGCCGGAATTAGGAGCGTACACGTGTTGCAAGGGACGTCTCCCGGGTGAGGAACGCAGTCACTGCAGGTCACCCAGGGCAGAGCCCTTGTGGGAGCCCGCAGGAGGACGTGCCGGGGGGCTGTGCACCCCGTGGCTCTGCCAGGGCTGCCAGGGACACAGACAAGGCCGAGCAGCTTGGAGCTTTGTCTCTGCTTTGAGCAGCTCTCGGAGTAGAAAGCACTTCCGTAATCATCACACCAGGGCCTAAAAGGAAGGAGAAAGCTCCAGAGGAAAATTACTTTTCCCCTTTCTTCAACATTCATTGCCATGTTGTCTTGTTTCCACGCGTCTAGGTTGATAAGATTTTTAGTACCTCCAGAAGGCTTGCACCTTCTTATGCATTAAAATCCTGCTGCAGCTCCATCTGTAGACTCTATTTCCAGCTCCATCCCAAACATCGCCTCAGGCTCTCTTCCAGACGGCCGTAGCTCCCAAACCTCATTCCCAAACAGCTTGGCAGTTTATAGACCATCCCTCACCTACCTTAGGCAGTTGTTGCAAGGGCAACTTTTACACAGAGCTCCATAACTGAGAATGCAGGAGGGAGCTAAGCACAACTCTCTGGTACAAATGGAAATCCCCTGACGATGAAAAAGAAATAATCATGCACAAATAACCAAGGAGAGAACAAGCAAACAAACGCTAGAGTGAAATGTGTCCTTTAACTAGGTCTTTAACTTTTCTCACCAGAGCAAACAGCCATGAACAGCACAGGAGAGCATTAGATAAGAGTGAGTAAGAGTGGGTGACACAGCTGAAGGTGACCGAAGGACAAGTGACAGATATAACAGGCTACCACCACTGTGGTGGAAACCTCTAAGGCTGCTGAAGAAACACCACTGGACCATCCAGAATGGCCAAGTCTGAGTCATTCATTTGTCTCACACAAACAAAACTGGAATCGGAGGCTTCTTCAAAGCGTCAAATGACATGGGACACATTGCTTTATATAGCCCAAGACAGCAGTGGATTTTGTTAGAATAAATGTGCCAGGTTTAGGCAGCAGGCACAGAATTGCTGCACTCAGAAATATTTCTCCATTCCCAAAAAACAAAATGAGCTGCAGCGGCAGGAGCAGGCAGTTCACTGCACAGGCAGCTACAGGTTTTTGACCGCTGTCAGAAAGCAAAGTCTTCTGCTCAACACTGGTGATTACCAGTGAGACAGGAGGAAGAGGCTGAACTAGCAAAATTGTGGGGAAACAAGCAAAAAAAAAATAAAATAAACCACCTCATGGCTGTTGCTAAGGTGAGTTAAGCCAACGCTCAGGACAGCCTAACCAGCTCCTGTAGGTATCTCGATAGGGCTCTTCTCACTCCCCGCTGCCCTGTTGCCGCTCTCCCCTCCTGCCCTCTCCCAGGATGTGGTGACAGTGACAGGTCACACTCTGCTCACCCAGACACCCAACACCACCACCCCTGTGTGCCGAGGGACTGACAGACAGTCCTAGAGCATTCTGATGTGCTCAGCCTGAGCCAGCTCCATCCCTTCCACACCCCCATCCTAAGGGATCACATGGCAAACTGGAATGCGACTCTGGGCTGGATTCAGTATAATCCAGCAGCAAAGAGTAATAAAAAAATGATTGCTTTTGATGCAAGCTTCCAATCAAGTGTTTGTGGAGAAGCTAGGGGAAGACAGGAAAGGAAGGGACGAGTCCCTAGCAGGTGGCAGTGGCATCATCCCCTAACAAAAATCATCCCTACAGCATCATCCCTAACAAAAACAAAACAAAACAAAAAAGCAGTTCACTTCCAGAAAGGAGCGCTCCATCCTCTTCTTTTTTTTTTTTTTTTTCTTCCCAAATACAGACAAGGTCTGCAACTCTCTTCCAAAAGGCTGCTCTGGAGGAGCAAAGCCATCTCAAGGGCACATGTACCCTGCTCCACGCTGCAGAGTTGGAGTTGCTCCCTGGAACAAGGGACAAGGTGACGAAGAAGCTGCAGAAAACGGTGGTGCTTGCTGGCTGCTGAAGCAATAGGGGCATCCACACGCAGGAACACAGATTATTGTTTTACTGCTTCCAGCACAGAAGCACAGGGAAAGATCATGACTGTTCCTTGTGATTACCCATTTTTAGCCCATTTCATGGAAGCACTAATTATTCTGTACAAACTGACAAGACAAACTGGGCCCTTCTCCAACCCTCTTCCAACTGGTCTGGCATCAGGGACGCCAGCACAGCCTCCATGAAGCAGCAAGCAAGGTTAAAAGCTACAAGTGAAGAGGGATTAAAGGGGAGGATCGCGTGTCACCTCCCAGCATTTCAGCAGCCTCATCCCACCACTTCAGGAGGAGAAATGCAGGAGAAAGGACCCTCATCCTTTCACTTGGGGGAATAAATAAGCAGAGTGTTTTCAGGGCAGGACTTTTAACTACAAAACTGCCCCCTGCTTGCAACAAAGCTGTTCAGTGGCCTGCCAGCACCTAGGTAATAACCTTGGAGCATAAGGACCAAGTGGATGCCACAACGATCTGCTCCATCTTGCACATGATGGCCACAGCAATAACCACATCAAAAATCAATAAGTGCAAACTGAATATTCACCGCAGTCAGCTGCGACTGGACAAGGTGCTGTCCTTTGGCATGGCCTGGTAACTGATTTCTTTTTGCAGAAAGGCTGACACATTGCGTAAATCGCAGCCAGGATACCTGCAAGCTGCGTTTTTATTTCTGCACAGGACAATCTCCTTGGAAGGTGGCATATTTGTTCCAAAGGGTAAGGCTGCGTCCTTCAAAGC